ATTTGGAGATAAAGAAAGTGGGTGCCAGGAAATGCATTATAAGCTCCATGATGCCCACAGACACCCTGTTGGGATCTTTGGTTTACTGAATATTAAGGAACACTCGGTCCCCCAAGCAGAAGGGTTCAACCCCTGAAGGAGAATCAGGCACTCAACACAATCATATCAATGCAAGAGGGTGAAACCTTTAGGCAAAGGAGAGTATCACATATGTAAGAAAAGGTAGAAAGCACAGCAGGAGTCTTAAAAGAAGGAAGTCCTATCAGAGAGTTTGGTGCAGGGGTCAGAGAGCTGGACTGGGATCCGGGAGACCCAGATCCAAATGCCTACTCTGCCATGGGAGCTTGCTGGGTGACTTCAGGCCAGCCACACCCACTCAACCTAACCTACTTCACAAAGTTGATGTGAAGATAAAATGGAGGAGAGGAGAATGATGCAAACCATTGGGGAGAAAGGTATAAAGGGAGGAAGTAAATAAATAAATAGCATCCAGAGTTGCCTGATAGTCTAGTAGTTCTGAAAGCAATGGTGTGTATGTGGCAGGGGGAGTCCTGCTCTGGGGAAATGTTGTCATGATCACCAATAGGCAAAGGTCACATTCAGGTCATTTACCAGCAATGGTGATTTAAATGGGACTTGGACAGTGAAATAGACTAGAAGTTGGGTTGCCAGCCTCCAGGTGGTAGGTGGAGCTCTTTCTCTGTCACAGCTGATCTCCAGGCAACAGAGATCAGTTCACCCAGAGAAAATGGCCCATTTGGAAGGTGGACTCTATGGCATTATGCCCCATGGAAGCCCCTCCCATCTCCAGACCTCAACGTCCACAGGCTCCACCCCCAAAACCTCCAGGTATTTCCCAACCTGGAGCTGGCAAGCCTAGACAAGAATTCATACCTCCCCTTCTACAGAGCAGCCTTCCAGTCACATAGGTACAGGTTTAGACAGGAGGGAGATACACACTGGAACCCTTGAAATCTCCCAGGGCCAGCCCCTTGTCCCCCCCCCTTGCCCCCCCCCCCCCCCAATCTCATATATACATAGCCTTATAGCTCAGGAGCAAAGGAAAGGATTCATGTGGAGGTTTATCATACCAAGGAGATACAGGGTCTGTGACTGCAGCATGACATAGGAGAACTGTCTTTCTCCGCAGTCTCCATCATGGTGTCCCCATGCTAGGTGCCAGTGCACTGGTTGCATTGCTGTCTGCCATGCAGTCTTAAAAGGTACAGGAGCCCTATATGGGCAAAACATATGAATACATTCCCTCAAAGACATGTGCCATATACAGACTCTCTGATGTAAATCTCACAGCTTAATTATGAGGTCAAAGGCAGAGAAAGACCAGTTTAGCTTCGGCAACCAGTAGACCTTGGGCAGAGCATACATATGAGTCCTCACCCCATGGTGCCCCCCCCCAAAAAAAAACGCTCATGGAGCAGCAGTTCCCTGGGGAACTCACCTCTAGAAGCAAGAATGTATTGCCTGCTATATGTTCTTCAAGCTGTGGGAGAGGTGGCATTGCCAAGCCATGCCCTACATGCTGCCTACTCACTCAGCACTTGCTCACTCATGGTGATGGTACCTGGGGCAGGGCTTGCCAGCACCACCTCTCCCTCTGCCATACAAACGAGAGAGGAGGAGGCAGGCATGTGATGGAGGTATCAGGCTCAATGAGGAAGCATAGGCCTTGGCAGCTGCCCCACCTCACCAACCCCTGACACCAGCCCTTTTAGGGCATGTAAATTATCTATCCTGGATCAGAAGAAGGGCATGTGAAGGCAAAACTGGGCATGCGAAAGTGAATCCCTTGGTGCACAGAGACTGAAAAAGAAAAGCTGAAATGGCAATCGTATTCTTTCTTTTTGAGGTACTATGGGACACCTTTTTTCCTCATGAAAGACTAATTTATTCAGATGACAGAACAGGCTGCTTTCTTTGGTCCTGTTTATCTTATTATCTTATTAGGATTTTCCCTTTAGGCTAGTACACTTTGTTTCCCACTGAGTTCAGAGGTCAGTCACTTCCACTGGAAGCACTGAATTCCTGTTCCTTCCTGCTCTTACTGAACTAGAACATGCAACTACCAGTGCTGCTCGTCTATAGCTGCCCTATGAACAAAAAAGTGCATTTAAAGGGTGTGAGTGTCTCAAGTATTTTCTCTTTCTGCAAAATGTGTCCTCACCTAACCAGGTGCCTGTGACTTCCCTTTTAATTTTCTACACCAGTACTAGGGATGGGCACAAACTGCATTTTTGCGGTTTGGTTCATAGTTCATAGCTGAACCACGAACCAATAGACCAGTTTGCGAACCAAACCAGTCCATATCGCTTTGTGAGCCCTTTAAAGTTTAAACCCCTGCTTTCTGCTTCCCACAAAAAGCGGTAGGGAGCAGAAAGCAGGGGTTTTAATGGCCCAGAGCCATTTAAACCAGTGCTATCTGCTCGAAAGCAAGAAATTGCAAGTAGATACATAGGTACTGCTTTGGTGGGAAGGTAACAGCGTTCCATGCACCTCGACATTCAGTCATGCCAGTCACATAACCACAGAGAAGTCTTCAGACAGCGCTGGCTCTTCGGCTTGGAAACGAAGATGAGCACCACCCCCTAGAGTTGGATTCGACTGACAAACCTTTACCTTTTTATCTGCTCCTCGTCACTTTTGGCTGGGAGCAGAAAGCTGAGGTTTAAATGGCTTGGAGCCATTTCACCCCCTGCTTTCTGCTCACCACTGCTTTTGGCAGTGAGCAAAAAGTGGGGTGAAATGGGTAGAAGGCATTTCATCCCCTGCTTTTTGCTTGCCACCAAAAGCTGCGGTGAGCAGAAAGCAGGGAGTGAAATGGTTAGGAGGCATTTCACCTCCTGCTTTCTGCTTGCCATGGCTTTTCATGTTGAGCAGAAAGCAGTGGTTTAAATGGCTTGCTTTCTGCTCTTCACAAACTGCTACGAACTGCATCAAAATTCATGGAAGTTCATTGTAGCTCTTCAGTTCACAAACATTGTTTCGTAAACCACAAACCAGCCAAAATTCTAATTTTGTGTTCTAATTTAGCTGTGATATTCTTTTTGTTGTAGTGGTGTAGAGCCAGTTTGGTGTAGTGGTTAAGTGCATGAACTCTAATTTGGGAGAACCTTGTTTGATTCCCCACTCCTCCACTTGCACCTGCTGGATGACCTTGGACAAGCCATAGTTCTAACACAGCTGTTCTTGAAAAAGAGCAGTTTCTATCAGAGCTGTCTCAGCCCCACCTACCTCACAGGGTGTCTGTTGTGGGGAGGGGAAGGGAAAGGAGTTTGTAAGCCGTTCTGAGACTCCTTTGGGTAGTGAAGGACGGGGTATAAATCCAATCTCTTCTCCTCTTCTTCTTTTGTGTCTGTGTGCGCTTGTCACTAGGCAGAGCATTTTAACTCAAATGGTTTTCATATCATGCAGCTAAATATAACTTATTGTATCATACTTTCAATATTTTCCCTTTGCTGCTGGGACTAAGGCAGTTGGTTGTACAAAGAGCTGCACTAACAGGAAAGTCAAGTACATGTAAAATATAGATGTATGCAGATATCAAAGGGTGATCTTCTGGGTATATCTTCTCTACATAAAAAGGAGAGTGTTTCTCTTTCCCCAGCCTATTTTTTGCAACTCCAATGCATACTGGAAGCTGGAGATGGTATTTGAAACCATGGTTATCACATGGGAGAATGGAATAAAATAGCATGTCAAACATTTAAAAAGAGAAAGAAAACAGTAAATAGCAGCAATTAAATGTTGGTCTGTTTTTCTGTATGTGTTCACATGGTTTAGATACTTTCACATGGGGTTCCAAAAGGTTGTGTTTTTTTTAAAGAAGCATTAATATTCCAGTTCTGTCATTATCTCTACCACGTCGCTGGAAAAATAAGTCTAATTTCTGCCCACATGAGCAAGGTATAGGATTCAATATTTTTTCAAGGATGGTTGTGTGATTGTTGGAGTCCAAAGACCACAGGGATGCCAGCCTCCAGGTGGGGCCTGGGGATCCCCCAGAATGACAGCTCATCTCCAGACTACAGAGATCAGTTCCCCTGGAAAAAATTGATGCTTTGGAGGACGGACTCTGTGGCATTGTACCCCACTGAGATCCCTGTCATCTCCAGGCTCCAACCCCAAATCTCCAGGAGTTTTCCAACCTGGATCTGGCAACTATACTCTCCCCCATCTCCTACCAGTGGCCAAGGGGGACCTGTCAACCCTTTGTCTAAGCCATGTTGCATGTCTACCCATGTCTGTCCACGTACCTGGCAATCCAAATCACTGTATGGATCAAGCAAAAACAAAGTACCTGTGGCATAAACAGCCCAAGAAAAAAAGATTCAGGTGGGTAGCCGTGTTGGTCTGAAGCAATAGAACAAAGTTTGAGTCCAGTGGCACCTTTAAAATTGCACACTTCATCAGATACCTGATGTGTTAGATTCCCGATAGGATCTGATGAAGTGTGCATGCACACGAAAGCTTAAATCCAGAATTAAACTTTGTTGGTCTTAAAGGTGCCACTGGACTCATACTTTGCCCAGGAAAAAGTGAGCCAAGCCACACATGGAGCAAAAAGGCATCTCTTCCACATATGTCAAGTGGGGGGGGGGATTGCTTTCCTGCCCCTAAATATGTATTTTTATAGAGCTGAGTAGTCACAGACTTGAAATGATATACATAAAGAACCAGAACAGCCTAGAGTAGTCAGAGGAAAATTAATCTAAAAGGTATCTTTTTCAAAAACCACAAAGCTTTAAAACAAAATCTGATTATCATTGGTTTGATATGACTCGAGGAAAGCAATTTGGTTCTTTTTCAATATTTGAAAAATGCTTTTTAAGAAAATAGAATGTAACTGAAATTATTCCACATTAACAATGAAACAGTTAACCTGATGGAAAACACCAAGGATTAAATTAGACCACTCAGCAGCAAATGGAGAGAACAGCATTTTAACTGACACTTCTACACGCCTCTCTGTGATAAGAGATGCAGTGACCGGACTATTCTTTCCACTGCACTTCTGAAGCGACTGAAAGCCACCCAGGACACCACCCAAGCACCAGCTGGTAAGAAAAATTTCTGTTAGCGTTTGGGGGGGGGCAGTTGTAATACACCATTCAGATTGGTAATTGTCTAGGGACATTTCACCTGCATCTTTATTGCAAGAATTTATTACCTACCAAATCATTTCTCAGTTGATTGTGCTGTATCTAGCACATGTTTGAATTAACCAACAGAAATGAACTCCAGATAGTTCATAAACTGGAGAAAGCTTTGGTGAGAAAATGATTAAGACAAATAGTTCAGAGGCTCTCTATTGATAAATAAATTAGTTGTGTCTCTTGATGAACACCTGCCATTCTCCTGCCAGTGCTATTATCTTAAGCATCCTGATTTAACCAGGTGCATGACTTCATGTGACACCTAAAGGTACTGCCAAGTGAAGGAAAGAGAGACATGGGATATACCTGCTTGTGAGAGTTACTTGCCTTCCTTGTCAGTCCACACTTTGTGCCAGATTCATGCCTGATCACTGAATTTGGGATTTCCCACCTCTGAATGGTGAGAGTTTTTACCTTTTCTTGAAGCCTTTGGCGCACCGGTCAGCAGTCATCTGCCAGAGTCTTTAGATGTTGACTTTTTTGCGCTGTTCCTTGCCCTAGAGACTTCTCTGATAGAGTGAGCCTCCACAAGAGTTACACAGTATAATCCTAACAAGAGCTACACCCTTATGAGTCCACTGAAATCAATGGGCTCAGAAGTGTACAATTGTGCTTAGGATTGTACTGAAACTCTGTTTGCATCTGATGATGATGATGATGATGGGCAAATTCTTTGGGAATATTCAGACACAAAGATACTTGCTTTCGTGCAAGATATTGCACTAGATTACCTGAAAATAGTCTTTAGTTCAATCACTCTGTAGGTCTATGGAATATATTATAGAATTATTATATATTTGAAATGCTTATGCATGATTAAAGAATTGGATTCAAGAAACTGGGAATGAAACAAATTCATCCCATAGAAAGCTGTTTCTGAATATTAGGGAACCTACAGGAACAGATGGGGATGTGGCACAGGGGCTGCAAGTAAATGGGACATTGGCAGAAGTCACACACACACCACCCTCCTGTGTCTGTGCAGTAAGAGCTCGCATAAAGCATCTGTGCCTGTATGAAGCAATTTCTCTTCCTTGCTGCAGCCCCTCAAACCACACCCCAACCCTCAGAAGCAGCTGGCAGAGGGAAAGGATCCATTGGGTGAAGTCAATCTGTTAATGCTTCATTATAGAACCAATCTAAAAATCTGGCAATAAGTCTGGAAATACAAATTTTATTTTGTCATGAAAACTGAAGAACAGACTTCAGAATATAATCAAAGTTATGATTTACAGAATAGCAGCCCATAAATATGCATTGAATAGCACTTGACTAGGTACCAGATCTGTAAGATTTGTATTATATATGTGCCATATGGCCTGATCCTATACATATTACAGAGTATAATAGAAACTAAGTATTACAAAGTACAAGAACTTAAGTCGCAGTCAAGTGTACATAGGATATGTTCTTTTCATAGAGCTAAAATATAGTTATATCCTTGATTTTTGTTTTTCTGACTGGGAAAGTAGGTAGCTATTTGCAGGTTTAAGACCAGAAGCATCCTTGAAATACCTTCAATTTTACAGGGATCAAAATCCCATTGTGGTTCAATTGTTTTTTGCAAAATTAGATTAAACAAACTGGTGTAATGTTTTTGGAAGCAATGGAAAGGTATCAAGTTTATGTTAACTCCATAGTTGGGTAAAACAGCTTTTTACAGAACATGCAAACACAGTTCAATGCTTTGGGATGCAAAATGTTATTGAATCATTTCACTTTTTTAAAAAAATCAGAAAATAGTTACCCAGCCAAGGTACGTGTGTTCTGTGTTCTGGAACTTCATTATGTACTTCTGAAGTTATTTAGTGATCAGAACAGTGAAGTGGCACAAGTTGGTCATGCCAAAATATGTATCCCACTATCTGCCAAACAGTCTCAGTCACTCATACTCTGAAGATAGTATTTCTGGAATCTAGAAGTCACTTAACTGGCCCATTCTTGTTCAGCAGATTTGGCTTATCATGTTCAAGTATTAGTGAGGGGTATCAGAATGCCTCATTAGGTCATTAAACATGTTTCTAAATTCTGCACTGTATGGACATCCAGTTAATTATGGTGCAATCTCTAAAAACACATTGGCAAGGATATATCATTAAGGCTGTAATACTATGCACCTTTATTTAGAAGTTAACACCATGAAAACACCCCGACCTGGATAGCCAAGGCTAGCTTGATCTCATCAGATCTTGAAAGCTAAGCAAGGTCAACCCCTGCTAGTATTTGTATGGGAGACCTCAAAGGAATACTAGAATTATAATGCGGAGGCGAGCAATGGCAAACTACCTCTGAACAACTCTTACCTTGAAAACTGTACGGAGTCACCGTAAGTCAACTGTGACTTGATGGCAACCCCCTCCAAACAATTAAAACAAAGTGAGACTTACTTCTCAACATGATGTAATGGTCAGACTAGGATCTGGGAGACCAAGGTTTGAACCCTCACTCTGCCATGGTAAATTACTGAGTGACCTTGGGCCAGTCATATACTCTCAGCCTAACCTTCCCTCACAGGGTTGTTGTGAGGATAAAATGGAGAACAGAAGAATGGTGTGGGCCATCTTGCGCTCCCAATGGAGAGAACAGGGAGGTGTAAATGAAGTAAATTAAAATAAAAACATATTCTCAGTACACATGCATAGGATCGGGCTGCACATCATTAAACATCCTTTCATTGTAAAGGCAGGGGAGAGAAATATCTAGGCCATTGAGAACCATTTAAATGTGTGTTCCCTGTCTCTAATTATCCATTAAGTCTGTTAGACAGAACTATAGAAATCAAGAGAGCTAACAAAGCAATCCTAGGAACATTTCCCTGAGAGTATAAGCCTCACTGAACACACCTCAGCATTCCGAGTAAACCTACATATGATTATTCTGTAAAATGTCTAACAATACTAACCAGCAAAGTCTAACAGCTAAATTTTGACCTCTTATTGTATAACGCATATTTAGATCAAGTTCTGAACTGGAATCCACCTATGATGGTTTAGATTCTTGGGTCCATGTTCCTACACCAGGTCCCCCCTAACTTACCAGGCACAAAACTCCAAGAAATTGAAGGAATATTTAATAATCAAAAATGCGATCTAAGCTGTTTTGCACAGGCCCTACAGAAATGCAAGGGACCTGGCCAAGTGTATGGGAGTGCACCTCATGTTCATCGTGGGTTTTCTTCAGCACATTGTTTCTTATTCAGTAAATTATTATTTCCAGATTCAAGATGAATTGGATGTCCGGTTTCCTCTTTTGCTCATTGGTGGTGCTGTTGCAAGTTTGCTCTAACCTTGAAGTTGATGCCGATGAAGACCCTCAGACACCTGGACGATCTTGTGCAAACTGGATGGGAGGAGCACCAGGCTACCCAGGTCACAATGGAATTCCAGGAAGAGATGGAAGAGATGGGCAGAATGGCCAAAAAGGAGATAAAGGCGAACAAGGTAAGTCAGTTCTCTGGTAGTCTATTTAAGCCTGTTAATACCACAGACTTTGGTTAAAATCTGTACCATGATTAATCAGTAGGATTGAGATCAACGTACTCCCCACCTTACAGTTCAGATGAATATGTCACTTACCTTCACCCTAAGCCATATTTGATGAGAAAACAAGTGAAGATAGCTTTTATTTCGTTAGTATTTAAAAGCTGCAGATATTTTGCATTTCAGGGTAGACTCATTAGCATTACAACCTTGTAGCAATAAGAATAGTAGGCAGCTCACACCACGGATGGTGGTAAATTAAAATAAAAGTCATATACCTGCTGGGATTACAACATGCTCATTTTTGAAGAAATGTTGGCTGAGGAAGCATTCAGAATTTTCGATTTTTACATTTTTGGAAAAGAAAATACCAAGCAGACCTTTCTTTAAGCACATAAGAAGAACCCTGCTGGATCAGACCAGTGGTCCATTCAGTCCAGCATCCTGTCTCACACTGTCTCTTTAGTCTCTATGGCAAGTAGCCAATGATAGACCTGTCCTCCTGCCAATGGTACAGTAGGTTTCTATATATTTAATTACAAGCTTCACTCACAAAAATGATTTCCTTCCTTCAACATCTTACTTCAGTAACTTCTATACCATTCCACTGAGCATAATTTGAAGCCTTTCTCCATCAAAAGAAGATTTCCTCCAAGTTAAGTAGAGGAAGAGCCATTTAAGTTGAAGGTTTCTTGGAGGATGGTTGGATCTCTCCAATTTTGTTTGTACAGAACTGAGATTTGGTGTGTTGATTGGGTGTGCTGGGTGTTGTTTATTATCAGATATAGAAGGTCTTTCTCACCCCTCTCCTCCCATGACAGCCCCAAAAGCTCCTCCATCTTGTTCTTGGGAAGTTTCATAGGGGTTTTTGGGGTACCACGGGAGGGGGAAGCTTGGAAAAATCATGCTCCATGTGTGAAAGCTTGTGTGCCTGCAGAAACACTAGCGTGGATAAAAGCCAAGAGCATCACTCAAACCACTGTGTAGTTGCTAATAATGTAACATCTGAATAACTGATATGTGGATCTCACAGTGTCTCAGACAAGCCTCATATCCTGTAATGGATGGTGGAGCATTAATTTCTGACCACAGATAAGCTCCACATGCCAATTTTTCATGAATGGCGCAAGTATAATGATGTTAGACCCCAGATATTATTGCACTGTGTTGTATTAAAATGTTGGAACAGAGGTCTTGTGCATGAAGAGGAAAATGAAGGAACAGGAGACATCTAATAACACTTAACAGCAACTTGATTTTACTTACCTTAGGTGGGAGACCACTGAGGCCTAATTTAAGCATAATGCTCATGAAGCAAAAGAGATCACTCTGATTTTACTGCTAGATTTTATGGGCTATGGATTTGATATAGGTTGCTGTTTTAACAATAGTGATGTTGGTCTGTGGTTTATGGTTTTAATTATTGTGTATGTGCATAAATACACCTGCGTGATCCAATGTGGGCCCACTATGTGGAAAAGGCAATCTGTAGATACATAAATAACATAATTAATCTATTTACTTGCTAGGTACACCTGGCCCCAAAGGGGACAGTGGAAATACAGGAGAATCTGGTGCTGTTGGCCTTATAGGACCTCGGGGTGTTCCAGGATCTCCAGGACTGAAAGGGGAAAAAGGGGAAAGTGCCTCCAGTTATCGATCTGCCTTCAGTGTTGGTCTAACAACCAGAGTCCCCCACCCCAATATTCCTATCAAGTTTTCAAAGATCCTCTACAATGAGCAAAATCATTATGATCCAACAACAGGGAAGTTCCGATGCAGCATTCCAGGAATGTACTATTTTGCATATCATCTCACTGTGTACCTAGCAGATGTGAAAGTGAGCTTGTTCAAGAGTGGCAAGCCAGTCATAATCACTTATGATCAGTATCAGAAAAACAATGTTGACCAGGCATCTGGTTCTGTTTTGCTCCATGTAGAAACTGGGGAAGAAGTTTGGCTTCAAGTATATGGAGAAGAGGAGAACAATGGTATCTATGCTGATAATATTAATGATTCTACTTTCATGGGATTCTTGGTCTACCCAGACTTAGATTATGAGCATTAGACCATGAGGAATGATTAGCCGAGAATACATTTGGAGACAGATTGTTGTTTAATTGGCCATGGCCATATTTTTGACACTAGCAAACACAATTAATTTAGATAGACTCATGACTCATTCACACTTGTATGTACATTGCCTGCAGTGTAAAGTGATGGCTTGGATGTGTGAATGAGCTGCCACAGATATGACCTCACTGAAATAACTTTAAAATCACCTCAGCCACAGTGCTTTTCGAAGGAGTCAGTTCACATATCCAGCTATCCAACACCATAAGTACAGTAAATGAAAGAAAGTTACATGTATGTGCAAATCAGGACACAGGCTGCAATAATCCTAGATACTATTTACAAAGAGTTATTATTCTGTCAAAGGACTGTGCATTTGAGTAGTAGGACCTTTGGGTAACAGATATTCAATAATGAGGAACAATCATTGTTCCGTGCTAATAGAAGCATCCTTATATGTGTAGCTTTCAGACTGGTTTCTCATTAGACCCAAGTTATTTTCTCAGACAGATTGCTATACATATTCCTTTCTTTTGTGAATTATGTTTGTCTTCTATATAATATGTAAACGTAAGCAAGGAATAATGGCAGTACTTCAATAAAGAAGGGGGTTTGCAACAGAATTAGCAATTATAAATAAAAATACTGTTCACTCATACTTCTGTTTATGTGTTTTTTATGTTCTACAATTACATCGATACAAGAAGAGTCCAGAAGAACAAGATGAAATTATAATTTATGCTGCTTCTTTTACTATTAATGATTTAAAAAACCCTCCATGCTAGTTTTTGTCCTTTAGCTTAAGTGATTTCATTCCTTGTTCATTCTTTCCCAGTTATCAATATATCTAATTCCCTATCTGGCCATGTCCGAGGATACTTAAACCTGGAGATTAAAGCCATGAACAGACAAGTCAGATCTTTATACTATCCTGAAAAAATCCCCAGGGTTGCAGAAAAATTATTTATTTATTTATTTATTTGATTTCTATCCCGCCCTCCCAAAGGCTCAGGGCGGCTCACATACGGCAAAGCGAGGTACCAATATCATAACATATATAATAAAATACAATATTTAAAACCACTATAAAACCCTCCGAAAGCATGGTGCTGCAATCTAGAATATTAATCTTCCAAAATGGGGACAATCCAAAATCCAAAATCTTTGGGTTGTGGTGCAAAGGCAGGCAATAGTTAACCACCTTTGAAGATCTCTTTCCTTGAAAACCCCACGGGGTCACAATAAGTCAGCTGTGAATTGACAGCCCTTGATGGCACTTTCCACCACTACCACTGTGTAACTGGGCCAGACTGGTGGCCAGAACTCTGCAGAGTTTTCCCAAGGAGAGGCTGCCAGGGGAGGGAAGGAGGTAAGCTGAAGATAGGGTCAGATGAGGGTAGGCTGGCTGGTTGGCTGCTGTGTGGGAAAGATAAAAGGAACAGGGGAT